CCTGGGGGCGGGGCTCCTGGAGGGCGTTCAGGCGCTGCTCTGGCCACCTCTGCTGGGTCCTAGGAGCGGCGGCGCCGACTGGACCAAGATGGCGGCGCCCTGCTGGAGAGCCGCGCTGCTTGGAAGTCGGCGGTGGCGGGGCTTCAGCACCTCGGGTGAGAGGTCTGAGGGTGGAGAGTCCTTGGAGACTCCGGCATGGCCCTAACCCTTGGGGCTCGAGCCAAGGCTCCCGGGGATCGTCCCTGGCCTCCGCGGACCGGGCCGGAGCCGCCCTGACGCCCCCCGTCTGCCCGCAGCTTCCCTCAGCCGCCGGGCCGCCCCTCTGGGGCCGATGCCCAATGAGGACATCGACGTGAGCAAGCTGGACCGGCTGGAGAAGTACCGGAGCTTCGACCGCTACCGGCGCCGGGCGGAGCAGGAGGCGCGGGCCCCGCACTGGTGGCGGACCTATCGGGAGCACTTCGTGGAGCGCTCAGGTGCGCGCGGCGGGGCGGGGCTGGCCGCCGCGGGGCCCCTCGGTGCCGCCCCGCCTCGCCGGCCCTCGTGTGCCCTGGAGGCGGCGGCCTCCCTGCTCGGTTGACTTAGCCCCGGCGGAGTTGTCACACCTCTTGGTGCCCCCGGCTTGGAAGATGATTAGCGTTCCGTCGTGGATGTCCCTGCTCCCACAACCCCGTCCTCACGCCCCCATCGGGTTGGAACACCCCTCTGTGCACCGAAATAGCGAACACAGTCCTGACTGCGCTGTGGCCTTTCTTCCCACCCAAATGCCAAGCTCCCTGAGAGCGGGGCCATGCTGGGCTTGGTCTCCTCTAGCTCCCGCAGCGTGAAGGCATGGCACCAGGTGGGCAGTGTTGAAAGCCCTGAGTCAGGGACCCCTGAGCAGCTTGCACTTCACTCATTGAATCCTTGCTTTGGCGACCAAGGGCACTGGGTGGAATTCATGCAACCTGATTTAAACTCCAGGCAGTGTCCTAGGAGTGACTTCCCCGAGCTTCTGTTTCCTCAACTGTAAAATAAAATAATTGGATCTATGCCACAAAAACAGGATTTAAGGTCACAGCCCACTGGAATTCTTAGACTAAAGCTGGCCCTGACGAGGGTTCAGTGCATCTTACTGGTATTGCCTAAAGAAAACGAGAGTTTGGCACTGAAGGTTTTCTAGCACTTGTGGGACCAGCGGCTCTGGCCTGGCCTGGGAGCTTGTCAGCAATGCTGAGTGCCAGGCCCCTCCCTCACCTGCTGAATGAGAATGTAAATGGTTGTCGGACCCCTGGTGGCACAAGGGGGTAAGTGCAACACTGTGAAGCTGTGGGAAGCTGCCCACAGCCACCGCAGCAAGAGCTCCGTCCTGCCAGGGAGGGACCCCAGGGCGCAGCCGACCCCTCCTGTCTCCCCGCTGCTCCCCCAGCAGTGGATTTCCTCAACCTGCCTGTTCTGCTCCCCACCCCGTTCTCCCCGCCACACCTCTGACTTGTACCCCAGTTCTTCTATGCATAAATAAATCATTTTTTTAAATGTAAACAGTTGTCCAGTAAGCTGTAAAAAGTGCTTCTAGCTTCAGGTATTAGTTCTGCTAAGGAAGCGTGTGTTTAACTTCAAATGATTGCAACTGTAATTGGGATGCCCACCCACCTCGGCTTCCTGGCCTAGATAGACAGTGGAACTTGTTCTAGTGATAAGAAAACACAGTCTCAAATTGCAGCTTAGCACCGGCCCAGAACCGGGGGTGAATCAGGCTGCACAGTGTGTTTGGTTTGGGGAATAAAGGCAAAGCTTTCGCAGCACGGCCTGGGCAAGCCAGAGGGCCAGCTGGGCGGCCAGCTTAGTCAGCAGGGACTTGAACCTTTCTCGAACGTGCCATCCCTCCCCAGATCCCAGCGACAAGACTGACATCGGGCTACCTCCTCCGAAGGCCAGCCGGACCCAACAGCTGCTAGAGCGCAAACAGGTCCTCCGAGAGCTTCGGGCCAGTGTGGAGGAGGAGCGGGCCGCCCGCCTTCGGACAGGTGAGCTCTCGCAGTGGGGGCCCGGGGGCGGCCTCCCCGCCTCCCAACTGCCACGATTCCTTCCCAGCGAGCATCCCCCTGGAGGCCGTGCGGGCCGAGTGGGACAGGACCTGCGGCCCCTACCACAAGCAGCGCCTGGCGGAGTACAACGGCCTCTACCGAGACCTGTTCCGCGGTGCCACCTTTGTGCCCCGAGTGGCCCTGCACGTAGCCTACGCCGTGGGGGAGGACGAAGTGATGCCTGTGTACCAGGGCAATGAGGTCACGCCCGCTGAGGTAACCCCGCCGGTGCCGCCCCCCCACCCCCCGAGTGCAGACCTCCCAGAGCAGGCTGCACCTACAGGGTGGTTTTTACTGGGGGTGAGGGCACGGCCGCACGCCTGATTTGGGGTTTGGTTCTGTCTCTTCTCTTTGATTTCCTGGTCATTGAAACCACGGGGATGACAAAGGCAGGCGTGTAAAAGACGCGCTCTCCGCCTTGGTCTCCTCCGTGACCCCCACTGTCCATGAGCCCCTGTCCATCGACATGCGGGCCTTCTTGGGAGTGGACTTCCTGGCAGGCAGTGGTATGGGCTCTTCAAGAGCCTCTTGGCCTTGTGAGGGGCTGTCGGGAGCATGTGGACCGGAGTGGGCGCCCCCGCCTCCAAGGCTCCCTCAGACCCCTGTCCTCCAGAAAGGTCTGTTTGCAGCCATCTTTCTGACCCTGGTTGGGGCGGTGGGTCCCCCATTCCCTCACCAGGCGGCCCGGGCCCCAGAGGTGACCTATGACGCAGACCAGGGCTCCCTGTGGACACTGCTGCTCACCAACTTGGGTAAGTGTCTGGCCTCCTGCTTCCTTCACCTCCCGGGAGCCAGAACCCTGGAGGGTGGGGGTGTGGCCGGCGGGAGCTCCTCAGCTCCTTCTGAGGGACAGGTGGGGGGCAGCTGAGCCCAAGGTCACTGGGTATCTGTGCACAGATGGACACCTGCTGGAGCCGGATGCTGAATACGTCCACTGGCTGGTGTGAGTATATCAGGCGTGGGGTCAGGGCCACATGTGAATGATCTAGGCTTGGTTGCACTGGACCAACTACAGATCACCCTGCCCCCTTCCCAAGGATGTCAGGGGCCCGTGGTCCAGTAGCTGAAGACAGATCCAGAAGCAGGTGCAGCCAAGGCCGCTCCACAGTCTCTTGGCCTCCCCCCTCCCCTGAGGGGCTCTGTGACCTCTGGAAGCTGTGATGGGCTGGGCTGCCTTTTGTTTTCTTGGTAGCCTTTGGCCCTGAGCACTAGTCTGGAGGGCAGGGGACCCCAGTTTTGGGACTTTCAAGTCCTCGTGGCCAGCGAGGAGACTGGTTTCTGTCATTTGTGTTAGCCGCAGTTGGCAGGCCGAGCAGCAGGATCCCTTCGGAGCTGCGCTGGGCTCCGACGGGTACTGGCCACCCCGTGCCAGGCCAGGCCCGCCCCTGGCACGCCCCGGAGCCTGCAGGAGACACTGAGGGGAGCAGCCCAAAGGCTCTGGCAGGCCAGCAGCACCCCGGGCCAGTAAGCTCAGCCCCGCTGGCCTTCCCAGCTGAAGCCCCACCGCTCCCTCTGCAAGCCCACAGTTCACGGGGTTCACAGACTCCACCTCCTACTGGGTCACCAGAAGAGGCGCATTTCCCAGAGCTGGGTCCGCCTCTGAGGAGCGCCTGGTGCAGAGGCCCCTGCTGCCACCTGCCTGGGTGACCACTGACAGACTTTTCCTCCCACCAGAACCAACATCCCGGGCGGCCAGGTGGCTGGAGGACAGGAGGCATGTCCCTACCTACCCCCCTTCCCTGCCCGAGGCTCTGGCTTCCACCGCTTCGTCTTTTTACTCTTCAAGCAGCACAAGCCCATCGATTTCTCCGGGGATACCCGGCCCTCACCCTGGTAATCTCCACCTCCCCCCACACACCCCCCAGCTCAGGCTGGTTCCCTGGCTGAGTTTCTTACTCAGTTCTTGCTCAAGACAGGCAGAGAGCGTTGTGCTAGGCAGGCACTGAGGGGCTCCGCAGCATGGCCTGGGTGGGGGGTGCGGGGGGTGTCCCTGCTCCGTTCTCACATGCTCCCCCTTTTCTCACAGCTACCAGCTGGCCCAGCGAACCTTCCGAACTTTCGATTTCTATAAGAAACACCAGGAAGCCATGACTCCAGCCGGCCTGGCCTTCTTCCAGTGCCGCTGGGATGAGTCAGTCACCCGCGTCTTCCATCAGCTTCTGGGTAAGAAGGGTGCGAGGCTGAGCTCACAGGCTTCCTGACCTGGAGGACACCTCTGCAGTCCCGTCCTGGGCGCGGCCCGCCGGTGAGGGCGGGGGCTCAGGTCCAGGGCGCAAGCTGGCCGCAGTCCACACCCGAGCCCCTCTCTTGCAGACATGCCGGAGCCTGTGTTTGAATTTGTGCGGCCGCCGCCTTACCACCCCAAGCAGAAGCGCTTCCCCCACCTACAGCCCCTGCGCTACCTGGACCGGTACAGGGACAGTCACGAGCCCACCTATGGGATCTACTGAGCGGCGGGGCCTCCCGAGGCCCCCACCACCCGCAGGCTCCCCCGCCAGTCCCACCTGAGGACTGGCGGCAGCAGGGTGGGGTGTGAATAAAGGTGATAGAGGTGGTTTCCCTGGAGCACGTCTGGGTGTGTTCTGGGGGCTGCGAAGTCCCCCTGGTGAGAGTGGAGGGCTTTGCGGTGGGAAGAGCGCCCCCAGGTGACCCCTCGCCTCTGCCTCCTGAGGATGTCAGGGCTCCACAATCCCGTGGCTGAAGACAAGTTCGAAGGGAAGCTGCGTTGGCCCTGGGCTGCTCCACAGGCCTCTCGAAAGCCAGCGCCAGTGGAACCGACAGCCCTTTGCGCACAGCCTGGCGGAGGCCCTGTGCCCCTCTGGGGATGCTGGCGCTTTCGCTCCCTCAGGGAAGAGCTGCCTAGGATCCTCAGAGGCGAGCTGTGTGCCTTCTCCAGGAGAACGTTCCTGTTTTACAACAGACACAATCACTGCGTCACAGTCCTCACCCCTGGGCCCGTGTCAGAGTGCTCTCTCCCCATGGCCGCCAGTCAGGCCCCGTCAGGCCTGCTCAGCCAGTGCTCGCCCTGCCGACCCAGGGAGCTGGAGGCCAGGCCCCCCACTGGGCTGCAGGGAACTAAGTGTGCTCTCCCCAAAAAAGAGGTTCCACTTTTTTGGGCCTGTGAACAAGGCGCTCTCCCCAGCAGCACCTTGGGATTCCAGCGCAGTTGAGGTGGTGGGGGGTGTCCATGAAGGGGGTGATGAGTCAGTCTGTTGACTGGTCTCTGTCTCTGGGTGACCAGACATTTCCATCTCACTGTTTACTTTAAAGAGCCAAAGTGAGGCCTGTCCTGGGGAAGGGAGACACCCCATTCTGGCAAACACCTCAACTGAGCTGGAGAAGGCGGGGAATGGCGCGGTTGGGAGGGGCCTGCCTGTGCCCGCGCCTGCCACCTGCCAGCCCAGGGGGCGCTACGGGTTGCCCACGCCACCTGTGGGGCCAGGAGAGGCTGGTGGTCCTCAGCCAGGTGGCCCCACGGTCCCCAGGGCTTGGCCTCCTGGCGGCAAAGCCTCATCTCCGCCCAGGAGTTGGACTGAAGGGCCAGGGAGGTCCAGGGTCGGCCTGGGGGGAACTGGGGTGACTGGAAGCAAGCAGGGGCGCGCCGGGCCAGGGAGAAGCGCGTGGCCCGGAGGAAAGCGG